TTTCCCCTCATATATTTGTGTGTTGAAGAGAGTAAAGTAAATTTCTGAGCTTCATACTTGAAATGAACATTTGAAATCATTCATGAATGTTCTATGAGTGCTTGCTAAGTATGCTGTGTGTCTTTGCTTCTCTTACAACCTTGCAAAATGGAACTCCACTGTTCTTGTGAGATTGAAAGACTATTCACGTTACTGTATCTAGCCAATTTTATTGTGTATTCTCTGAACAAGTCTAACTGGTAACAACACAGCTTGTACTGAATACTTAATGTAGCAGTTTCCCATCATGATCCTGACACCCCTTGCTCCTATTGAAAGGACCAAGCAGACACCATAACATGTTGATCAGTCTGCTCTCAGAGATCCGGTCTCAATTTCAGTTTCCTGAGACTTGAGCAAGCAGTTTCTGGGAGGACCATGAACAAAAGACATAGTCCTTGCAGTAGCTCCCTTTCTGCATGTACTCTGACTGCTCAAGATTCAGCCAATTGTTTATTGTCTAGGACCCCTCACCAACTTAGAGCTATGTCAAGGACATAGCCTGGGACACTGAGTCAGCCCCCACAGTCAGTATATGCTAGGCCATCCAGCCTCCATAGCAGCTCAGGGACAAAGCCTGTGACTTGTCTAGGCCTGCTCAAAAATGATTACTGTAACCCCCATCTAGCAAATTCAAAGGTCACATACCCTCACCTAATCATATGATACAAAGGCTTGTACCACCCTGCTTGTGGTTTTTCCCTTTAACATACCCCCATTATGAGAGCTTAGGGCCATCCTCCTCCACCTGCTGTGTTGAGTGCTAGCATTTGATATTGGCTCTGTAGTAGTCTTGCTCGGGGGTCTCAAAACACAGGCACAACATTATAATCCTTCCTTCCTCTCTTCAATTAAATTCCAAGAGCTTTGCCAATTGCTTGGCTATGTGTCTCTGTATTAATTCCACCAGTCACTAGATGTAGGTTCTATGATGACAATTAGGTTAGACACCAATCTGAGTACAGGGCAAGGCTAGTTCAAGCACCCTCTCTACCATTGCTATGAGTCTTATCTGGTGACCTTGTTGTTAGTTCCTAGCGATTTCCCTAGCTCTAAGCTGATCCAAGCTAGTGGGAGCTCATAGACTCTGGACTGACAGCTGGGAAGCCTGCATGGGACTGCATTAAGCCCTCTGAATATGGGGGACCAGGATTTATCTTGGGTACACGAACTGGCTTTTTAGAGCCTATTCCCTGTGGTGCAGTGTCTTACTCAGTTGTGACACAGGGGCAGGGGCTTGGTCCTGCCTCAACTTGGTATGCCAGCCTGTGTTGACTACCCAAGGGAGGCCTTACCCCCTATGAGGAGGGGATGGGGTGGGATGTGGGAAGGGGGAGGGGGAGGAAGTGGGAGAAGGGGAAGGAGGGGAAACAGGGGTTGGTAAAATGAAAAAAATGGTAAAAAAATGTTTAATTAAAAAAATAGCAATTTCCAAAAGCCATAGGAGTCACTCCAGCCTCCTGAATTGATAGAAGCAATTCAGTGAGAAGATGTATTCTCTGCACTTTATTGGTTTTCAGTATAGAGATTGTTTTTAATTATGACCTTTACCTTTCTGGAAATGTTTGTTCAGTTTTAATCTTCAAGGAGTCATTAGAAAAGAATCCTTATAAAAACCCTTTAGCCAGACACACATTTTGGAAATATTTTCTCCTCAAACATGATTAATCTATTTCATTCTTTTAATAGTATATTTTCTAGGGCAATAATTTCCATCTGAAGTTTATTCATTGCTTTTGTTCTTGTGATGTGATAATGGATGAGTTGCGAGAACTTCCATGGCTTTTCAGTACAATTTATTGACTGGAAAAATATAAACGGCCTGGTAGAGAGATGATGTTGTCTCTGTACCTGGCTTGTTCTAGAGCTCTGTTCCTAATCCTGCTCACCCCTTGTCTTTCCCCATCAGTCTATATCATGGCTTAGAAAATCCTAATTGTCTATGTTTCCCTTCTGCACAGTGAGTTTTCCATCCCTCCAGTATCCCACCTCTAGTGGTGTCCAATTTTAAGATGCCTAATACTTCTGTCCTCCTTCCTAAATCCTAGTGAATTGGAGAGCTTTATAAAGATTTCCAAGTCATCCTTCCCATCTCAGGCTATAGAGACTGAACATTCTAGGGCCTGGATGATTGTTATTGTACATATTTAATGAATATAAGATATTACAGTATTTATACATTCTTCATTTTATATACGAAGTAAATGTTATATTTTATTAAAATGAGTAGGGAAGTACATTTTGTCCAACGTTATTTCGAGGTGTGGGAAAAATCTTCAGAGATCTCAGGTTCTTCTTCCTGATCTTCTTCCCCAGAAGCTCTCCATACTCACCTGTTACTGTGTCCTCCATCACTTTTTGCCAACTCATAGGCATTTGTAGATCACATGTATCCCCAAACCCTTTATCAATGTCTTGACTTGCTTCCTTCCATCTTCCTAGAACTCTAGGCTGCAGATGGAAAGATCCTATCTTCCAAGGCCTTTGCTACAGTAGTGAATTCCTCCTGTTGAGTTATATGTCTGTCAAAATAAACTAAGGGCAATTATAGAATGGCAGCTCTGAGGCCCAGTGTGTCCAATTCTGTGAAATGCCTAAGTTTGGTCAATTCGCATTTCTTGCAAACATCACACCGCTCACCATTCTTGCGAATCCACAATAGCGCTCTGTGTATATATTTTCTCCAGAAGCATTCTTGCATGAACCCAGATGGTTCAATGCTGTTATTTATAAGAACTGAATACTTCGTTATTCCCTACAACAGCCTATCAGTGATCTCCATCTTTTCAGCTAAACTGCTTTTATCTGAGGTGTACATTAGTGGTGGAGCACATTATTGGGGGAATTTTTTTTTATTCATTATATACAACAACGTTGCCTGTATTCTGCTCTCCATCTCTTTTCCATTGGCAATTTTTAACCACTCCTCTTTCCCTATAATTCTCTCAACAGTTTTCTGTGCTTCCAAATCATTCTCATGAATTAAAGAATCTCAGGGATTTCTGGGAGCTGAGCACTATGGATGGGCAAAAAATGTTGTTGGGTAGTGTGGACTGAGACTTTCTAACATTTGCTTTCTAAAACCCTCAAAGGGGCATGCTTATAGGAAGAAGTATAATGTTAAAGCTCCAGATATTTATGTTTTATTTGCTCAGCCATGAATGTTCTTTATTTTTTAATTACTATAGATTGTTCCATTCAATTCATTTAAAGAATTGGGCTGTGCTCAGACAGCCTGTTACTTTTGGGGTAATGTTTCTAACTTTTGCTAGCATATGTTTAGTGTGATTTCTAGTTAATTTCTAATTGATTTCTTTTTTCTTTTCTTGTCTTGCTTTGACTTTGACACATGGTTTTTCTGGGTATGCAGCTCTGGCTATGTTTGAACTTGTTATAAAGACCACACTGGTCTTGAATTTAGATATCTACCTGACCCTTAGTGCCAGGATCAAAGAAGTGTACCACCAAACTTGGCACTGATTCCTAATGCAGATTATGACATCATGTTTTTTATTTTACTGATACATCATTACATAATTATGAATTGCTGACAACTTTGCTCTGCTGAGTACTAGAAAATGGGGCAGCTATAAGATATGACAAGAAATAATTAACTTGGCTTTTGGAGTAAGGGCCCAGAAAAGCCTGGAGTCCAATAGGATGCAAAGTTCTTTGCAAGACTCTTGCATAACAGACACTGATGTGCCCTATACCTACCCTCCTCCTGAGCCTTCAAGGAAAGAGAAAATGGAAGAGGCTCTCCCAAGTACTTGGTTCCCCTAGAGACACTCACAAGAAACTCATAATTGTTTTTGGCAATTAGAAACTGGAGAAAAGTTTCAGAGTTCCTCCTCCCAAAGCCAACACTGTCATTGCCATTGTGGGTGAAATGAAGACTGTAGTTCAGAAGGGACATGAGGTCATAGAGATCTAGACCTTTATCTCAGCTTGAAATGCTGTCTTCATCCACAGTGCTGGCTACCAGGATGACAGGAGCTTCAGACCGAGAGAAGGCTCCTGAGAAAGCAGGAGGCAAGTGAGCATTTGTATTTCAGCTTCAAAGACAGATTAAAAAAAGAATGGAGATTTTGTAAGTGCTCAAATATGGAGAATGAATTCTGGGGTAAAAACAGATGTAGAGCAAATTCTGTTAGTGGAGATGAAGACTTTCTGTGCTCTGATAAAAGCAACTGAAAATTCAGAGCTGTTTTCTGAGCTTGTACACATAACTAATATTATGTAATGCTCCCATACAAATCAACTCACCTGTATTCATCAAATGTAACATTGTTCAGCAATTCATTTGACTGATTCCACTGTTTTTGCCATTATGTCTTGCAAATAGTAAACACTGGGTCTATGTTGCTTTTTTGAAATCGAGTTTTGACAAGGGAGGTCTCTATAGCATTGGATAATAAGTTAACTCTGCATTGTTTTATAATGTCAGAAAGTTAGGATTCAATGACAAATTATGAATCAATCTATGTATGAACTGAGAATTGAAAATGTTTCTTAAATAGGACTGTTGAGCCCAACACTACAGGTCTTGTTACATGAAGCCTTTTTGTGTTCACATTCCTCAATTCTCCCTACTGCTCATAACTGTTAAGCATTTTGAAAATCCTTGATGAAACATTGTCTAAGACCATGTCTTGACAATGAATGGAACACCATCTTTCACATGACACATTAATGAAAATCATAGAAGATGTTATAGGAACAAGATTGCAAATTTTGTTTGCAAGTTTTAAATTTAATTGCAGTGAGCCTCCTACCATAATAAAGCCTTAAGTTAGTCCTTATCAGTGAGAATACATGACTTCAGTTGATGTGATAAATGTCACCACATTGAGTGCTCTTCTGCAGAATCTTAAACTCTGTATAGAATCTAAAGACAAGTGTCACAGGAAACTGGCAGAATGATTCTAGGGATTGGGAAGTAGGAATGGTCCAGAGACTCTCAGGATGAAGAGGGAATGCTGGATGATATCTTTCTTCTGCATATCACCTCCTCCTTTTATACACTGAATATGAGTTAAGGTTATTACACTTGGTTTTCCAACACATGGTGTATCTCACTTTCCAGTCACTGTCTTTCCAGATGTCTAAAGGTTTTGGCAGGTCTTATATTGGACATTTTCATTGTTTCAGCATTATTTTCTTGTTCTGCAAGATCTGGCATGATGGACTAATCAGCACCATCACTTTGTGTGTGTTCAGTAATCACAGCAAACCAGGAACTCCATGAGGGTGAGTAACAATGATGCCAACTGTGCTGGACTTTCAACTGACACCTGCAAGATTTCATATTCTGGTGAATTTCACTTATTGTACCTGTTTCTTTATCTAATAGAGACCAAAAATCAAGAAATGTAAAATTTTCCTCTACATTACAAATTATTGATTGAACACTATGTTGTTTTAATTATATCCTCATTGTTAATATTCATGGATGTTTCATGCTTGGCCTTATGATGTGGGTCTCTGGTTCTATAAAATCATTCAAAAGAAAAATGCCAGCAGCCCTTCAGACAAATCCAAGGTACCTTTCTTCCAGCTCACATTTCTTTTCACTAATAGTTTCTTTTTAAATATTTATTTGTTGGTATCTTTAGCACATGAGAGTGTGCAGGGGAAAATGAATTAGCACTAACTTTCAACATAACATCATTCAATTTGATATTTGAATCTTATGATTAGTACATTTTATGCTAGGTAATAAATATTGTATTGCTTCAGCACTGAGAAATATGTACATTGTGGTTATAACATTTTATTATTTATATTTAAACTTTTGATGAGAAATCTCAGAATGGATTTATTTTCTGGTACAGACATTTATATAAAATCTCTTCTTTTCTCATATGAGTGATTATCAAAGTTTATCCTTAAAATAGACAATTTAGTGTTCTCTTCATTTTCAGAGAAGAGTAATTGCTTTTACCAGGGTAATAATGCTGTGTTCTAAATGCTGAATATTCAAAGAAAGACAATTGGTTATTTACTTTATAAATGTGTGCCTTTGCAGACTAAAAGCAGTCCTAATGAGAGTAATTATTTTTGCAAAAATATTTGGCATTTTAGGCTGAATCTTGCTACACTGCACACATTGGCTTTATTTCCCTGAACTCAAGTGATTCTTCCCGTACTGATATCCTAGGCAATAAAATGTTGAATTCATCATTTTGCTCAGAGATGTAATTTTTGTTATAACTTAAAGAAAAGTTGTTAAATGACAAAATGGACTTGAGGAATTTTACAATAAGAATAATGTTCTTAATACAAAGTACAGTTGGAATTCTGGGAAATCTTGCCCTTCTTTTAAACTATATAATTATTTACCATAATGAACACACATTGAAGCCTACAGATTTGATCCTCACACATTTAATCACAGCCAACTTTTTGATCATTCTCTCTAAAGGAGTTCCCAATACAATGGCAGCTTTTGGGATGAAACAATTCTTCAATGATTTTATATGCAAACTTTTTTTATATATTCAAAGACTTGGCAGAAGCATGTCTATGGGAACTACATGCCTCTTGAGTGTCTATCAGGCCATCACCATCAGCCCTAATAAATCCTTTTGGAAGAATTTTAAATTCAAATCTCCAAACTACATCAGCCTCTGTATTTCTATCTACTGGGTGATGCACAGTGCCATAAATTTCATTTTCCCTGTGTTAGTGCATATCAAAAGGAGTCACAAAAATGCAACAGAGAAAAGAGATTTTGCATACTGCTCCTCTTGGGGTCGTGATAAAATTGTAGAATCACTGTACACAACATTGCTGGTCTTCCCTGAAGTCTTGTTTTCTGTGCTCATCATCTGGTCTAGTGGCTCCATGATTACCATTCTGTACAGACACAAGCAGCACATTCAACACATTCGGAGCACTCAAGATTCCCTCAGAACCTCCCCTGAGGCTAGAGCCACACAGAGCATCCTGGTTCTGGTGTCTTCTTATATAGCTTTTTATACCCTTTCCTCTATATTACAAGGTTTCATTGCTGTTCTATCTAAACCCAGTTTGTGGTTGATGAACATCACAGCCATTATTTCTATGTGTTTTCCCACTTTGTGCCCTTTTCTTATGAATTGTAACTTCACTGTGCTCAGATTCTGCTTATTCAGCATAGGTAATATAAAAAATCCAGTAATTGTTTCATAGGTGTGTGGATTGTTTATTTTTGCATCTTATTTATTTGTTAATCACCTATGTCCATCAGAATATCAACATGAAAATGATGAGGGAGCCCTCTTACATGTATTAGTTAATTCCTCATAAGTATTTGGGTTTTGCAGCAACTATCCTTAATATTATCAGAACCAGAGCTGAATTAATATAGTTGCTGCCATATTCTAGATAAATGACACTTATTTATTTATTTTTTTCCTTTTTTTTTTTTGGTTTTTCAAGACAGAGTTTCTCTGTGTAGTTTTTGGTGCCTGTCCTGGATCTCACTTTGTAGACCAGGCTGGCCTCGAACTCACAAAGTTCCGCCTGGCCCTGCTTCCCAAGTGCTGGGATTAAAGGTGTGCACCACTGCCCCCGCTTAGAGGGTTTTTTATTATGTTTTCTTAGATACTAATTCATGAGTAAAATTAATGAGTTTTATCTCAGCCCTTCAAAGTCAGTTTCCACAGTGTGGTTGACTAAGTTATCTAAGCATAGATTGAGTTTGATAGAAGCAAACACGGTGAAAACCAAGTGGTGGCTGATGTTAAGAAATAACTTTTTTAGATTTCTTCATGGTTACTTTTATGTCTTATGCACAGATTTTGCTTTGAATTGTCTGTCTTATTTTGTGTTAAAAAGATCATTGGGAGACAACGACAGTGTCAGTCTATGGAATCGATGAACAAAAAGCTTTAATATGTGAGGAGACAAGTTAATATCTTTATCTCAGGCAAAGTGTTAGACAATTTTCTATATGACATTGTCTTTTCCCAGCCCCATTATGTTAGAAGTAGCCAGATGCTTGTGTACACACGACTCTCACCAATCAACTGAGATTAAGAATGGTGGCCCTAAGGGATCAGTTGCCATTGGAATATTCATACTCTCTTCTCTTTCCCAAGTATTAAATGATGTTATTCATACTCAAGAACCATATCTCTTTAAGCCAGTTCTATTGAAGAGCCACAAGATAAACTCAAACTATCAAAGGTGCTGAAAGTAGTTACAATTATCATTCTAAAGAAGAAGTGTAGAAAAATCATTAGAGATTGCTCCAAAGTGGTACTTATGTTCTCTAAGTCACAAGTTTAAGTCTCTAGGCTATGTTGTATTCTTTGGAGAACCAATAACTCTTTATTATAGTGCTGAAGATTTCCCTTATGCAGACATATGAAACACTGATATGATATATAACTTGATTATTGGTATAAATACACTATGGATAACTTAATATGAAAGAAATTTCTTGAATCAAATAAACTTCTTCAAATATCAAATCCTGATACAACTAACTACAGGTGTGTGTGAATACATTAGGCTTTAAATAATGAATCTCTTTTTGGTGATGAGAGAATACATAAGCAAAAAAGGATGTTCAGAGAATATCTGAGTCATTAAGAGGGTATCAAGCTATGGAATATATGATACTAAATTTTGGGGAAGAATCCAGTGTACTCTGATTACTTGGAGGTAATGTGTTCCAAATCACATATAATACAAAAGAAAAACATGTAATACAAATACATGTAAAAAAAAACCCCAAATACATGTAATACAAAAGCTATACAAACCACGATTTCCCCACTGTATACACATAATCTAAAGGTATTGAAACTTTGGGCTGGAAAAGTCATTAAATGTTTGGAGGTTAATAAGCTTTTGTGGGAACTTGGAAGATAATGCAAAAAACTGCAGATGATGGAGACCTGGCTTGTAAAATTTAAAAATGTAGTAGAGTTTTTAATCATGGTTATTCTTATGCTAAATTTAATTCTAATCTGTTCTTCTAGACATCTAGGGATGGAGAAGTAGTTTATAGGTACAAGAGACTAGGACCACTGAAGTAAAATCTTTGTCTTTCTGGTCCAATAGATGTTAGTTATCTGGGGCCAAGAAATTAAAATGGAGGGATTAAAAAGAGACTCAGAGGGGAGAAATGTTTTATGAGAACTTATTGAGGATCAGAATCTAGAAGCTCTGGTCCAGAATGGGCAAAGTCTTTATCTCATGCTGCTAGCTAAATTTGGTAATGTATAAGATTCTTCTACATGTTACTGATTTTGAAGGCATGAAAGGGTCATGGAGAACAGCTAAAACTTGGTACAGAGAGAGTGCATATGCACCCTCATAATCAAAAAATGTATGTCTTTTTTTCATTTTACTGACAACAGAATTGGGAGACATTGGACATTTATGAAACTATTGAGATTTTAAAGAGAATTTGGATTTTTCAAATGTCATTTTCAGACTTCTGGACTATTAAAAGTTCAAATGCTTTAATTTGTTGTGCTGTTATTAATATGAGATCTTAGAAATACATGAACAAATAAAGATTATTGGTTCAATATCAATATGATTATTAGTGAAGTATATAAGTTATCAATTGTGGGTCTTTTTGTCATCTTGACAGAGTCATCTGACAAGAGGGAACATCAATTGAGAAAATGACACCATCATACATTCTTGATTGATGATTCATGTGGAATAGCTCTGCATACTGTAGTCAGTGTCATTCTTGTGCATGTGATCCTGAATAATATAAAAAAGTGATCTGAGTGAAGCAGTTAGAGCAAGTCAGTAATCAGCATTCCCCATGGTCTCTGCTTCAGTTCCCGAGCCTAGGTTCCTGTTTTGAGATCCTTTGCTGAGTTCTTTTCAAACTAATACAATTCACAGAAAAACTGAGGTGTGCTCTGTGTACTGTGCATTGTCTTATGGCATCTGGTAGAATGTTTGCAGCTGTGGCTAGGCTATGGGACAACTCTAGTAGAGCAGTCACTTGAATACACAACCAAAGCCTCAAAGAGAGCTTTTTCATTTTACCCTATCCAAGTATTAGCTCTCTCTCTTCAGCTACAAGGCAGTTTTGAAACCATACATTTTACTACTAAAAAAAAAACTGTGGATAATTGAACCCCTATAAACTTCCAAGCCAAAAAGAATGCCTCCGAAGACCCTCAAAGTCAAATTCAGAGAATTTTCACTAACATCTCTGGGAGATAGGTCATAAAGACATTTCTCAGGTTGTATTGTGTAATGTATTTGTGTATATATTATATAATAGCAATTATTGAACAAAGAGGTAATTAATTTAAAGTAGAGCACAGGTAAGTTTAAGGGAAAGTTTGTAGGGAGGAATGATAAAGGGGAAATGATGTAAGTACAATGTTATCTCAAATATAAACAAAAATACTTAAAAATCAACAAACAAAAACCAGACAACTCACAATTTTTTTTCACAATTGCTCTGCTCAGAATTTGGTGTGTCTGAACAATTCTCCTCATGAGTTCTCTTCCAAAAAGCAATGATCATTGTTTAACGAAGGGTGGTAAGGACAGGGGCAGTGTATAGCCATCTCATATGGGAACAGGTCTCAGTAAGAATGGATGAGCAGGGGTGAGACGGGCGTGAAGAGAGATAGAGCTATCCTGGATTTTTTTTTTCATATGAAAACTGAGAATTGTCCTTTTAAGTTGATGGATGAGCACAGGAACTTCTAGTGCAGATCATGACAGCACGTTTTTTTCCTTTCACCCATACTTCAGAAGATATCCCTGAATTTTTGACAAACTCTTTTCTCCTGAGTGCTCTAAAACAGGGCAGTTGTGGGGTGTGGAAACTAATAATTATCTTGATTTTGGGCACTTTGATACATATAATGGCCTGGAGTCCCATGAAACACATAGATGTCTCTGCAAAACATTCAAACACCAGACTTTTATATTCTGCATGATGTCCAAAAAAGGTGTGTCACCCTTTAGAAATCATGAGAAAGTAAGAACCTCTTCAATCTGTCTCTTTGGATATACAGTGAAGACAGTCATAATTGGTTCTGGTAATTAGAAACTGGAAAACTTGCACAAGAGTCCTAGACTCCCAAATCCAGAGCTGACATTGGCACATCAGGTGAAGTTGCAAAGTTGTGATTCTGGAGGGAGGAGAGGTCACAGTCATAGGCCTATATTTCAGGCTTGTTTTGCCACCCTCTCCCCCAGGCTTCCGAGAATGGTGTCTCCTCTATACCATAAGCTAAATGCTTGTCATGGAAAAGGGGCCAGATTAGCTTACTGTATTTTGATGTTGAAGAAAAAACATGCAGGGAAGGAAATTCTGATAAAAATCCGTGACTGAAAAGGTGATTCTGGCATGGAAACAGATGCAGTATAGATTCAACCGAAGGAAAGGAAGACTTTCTGGGCTGTGAGATGATCTAATGAAGAGAAAGATGTTCTGTAATTGTGCTAATACCTCATGTAAATAATATAATGTGATGAAATTTTCTCTGATCACATATATGGAAGATTGTAAATTTTGCCTGAATCTCTCATTGAAGGGGACATAAGGACAGTAGTAATTAGGTCACTCATTTTTCCATCCCCATATCATTTCTATGAATCATTCTATATTTTTTTGTATAGTACACATAGATTGCCAATATAGTTTGACAGGAAGCAACTATGATTGCCATGTAAGTTACTTAAGACATCTGGGCTTCAAAAGAGCCATTGCAGTTAGTCAAGCTATTTGGTTGATAGTCCTGCAGGCCAGTCTAGAATGAAAAGAAAGATTCAAATTATCTATCTGTAACATATTAGCTTACTTAAAGTAGGTGCTCACAATGAAGGCCTATTGTGAACAGTAACAGCAGATAGACCATATATTGAAGTATTCTTAAAATGGTCAATCCTGCCACAATGCCTGTGGATTTGTCCATCTCTTCTAAGAAGTCTTAAAAACTCTGAGGAAAGCCATACTTCTGGGTGCCCATAGCCCTGTGCACCCAATGTCGAGGCTGATTCCCACCACACTCCTGTCTGCTTCCCATGCTTCATCGATAATACTGGATACTCTTAGTGAAAGCTTGTGAACAAGGCTTGCCATCTTCCTTTTCACAACAAACAAGACCCACACCAGTGGGAAGATATTGTAGCTCTTGGTAGCAAATAACTGCTTTTGAGATCTAACATACTCATGTAAGGATAAGGAGCTACTGAGAGAAGGATACTGGCATACATACCTTCAGAACACGCTGTCAAGGGGTTAGGCACATGATTGACATAGGATTATGGCATCCAGTAGCCAGTTCATTGTTTTTCAATTTCCAAACTAAGTAATTGGCTGCACATTTCTAAAGCCATGCCTGGGAAGGCTTTGGGAGACTTCAGTGATTTTGGGGTCTCCTTGAAGCAATCTATTTGTATTTGTTTGTTATAGCCTGCAGTTCTGATAGTATTTAAGTTATCCTTCTGTGTCATTCCCAGTACATGAAAGTGTGATGTTTTAAGATGGGACAGTCTGAGACAGTAATGGCAATTAAGGCTCAAAAGCAATCTGGTGATGTGTCTTGTGTTCATGATTTATTCTAAACTGATACTGGTGATGGTTTGTAGAAAGTGGAACGTTTATTTATTGCTTTTGGCCATTCAAACTGGTGCAATGAAATAATAAACTGGTGCAAACTGAAATAATGTTGATGTTCCTCAAAAAGCTGAAAATTGATTTGTCATAAGATCAAGCTATACCACTCTTGACCATATTACCCAAATCATCCTACATAATTGTTAATCTATTTTCATTGTTTTTCTATAGCTAACAGCCATATTGAAAAGAAACCTAGATATCCACCAGTCAATAAATGAATGATGAAAGGGTGGTACATTTACATAATGGGATATTCAGCTATTAATACAAATTATGAAAAATTTTAGACATATGAATGGAGCTGGAAACAATCACCCTGAAAGAAAACCATAGCATGTTTTCTATTCTATGTGGGTGTTAGCTTTTAAGCTTTAGATATGTGTGTTGTATTTTTAATATCTACAGTGCTTAAGTATCTGGTTAGAGTCCAAGGAGGAACAATGGATCTTCCAAAGAAGGAAAAATAATATGTTTTTATGGCGGATTAAAAGGAAATTATAATAGGAGGACTTGATGGGGAGGGACATAGGAGGGCAGAATAGTGTAGGGAATAGAGAAAAGGATACCTAACACTAAAGACTTTAAAAAAGTCTCATAAAACATACTAGTATAATATATATATATATATATATATATATATATATATATATATATATATATATATATATCATATAATGGGAGAAACAAAGGCTAACTGAGGTCTTAATTTAAAAAAATTACACAAGCTGCCATTGTACAGTCTTTGCTTCCCTCTGATTTTTCACAATCCTGGACTACATTGTCTGAAATTTCTTTGCAATTCTTATTTTACAAGCTCTCACAGAACAGCCTATAAGCTCTAAGCACTCAAAGGCTTTTATAGCCTGAAGTTCCAAACTCCTCCTTCAATATTCCACAAACCAAAATGTGTAGGTCTATCATAGCTATATCCCATGAACCCAGTAAGAATTTATTTATTGGATAGGTTTCTATTGCTGTGATAAAGATATGACCAAAAGTACCTTGGAGAGGGAAAGTCTATTTCATCCTATATTTCCAGGTTGCTATCCATCACTGAGGAACACCAAGAAAGGAGCTCAAGGCAAGAACCTAGGGTAGAAACTGAATCAGAAGTCATTGAAGGAATACTTCATGCATAATCCCAATGGCTTCCTCTCTTTGCTTTCTTCCACAGCCCATGACATTCTGCCCAGGGGTAACTCCTTCTACAGCAATCATTGATAATGAAAATATCCCATGTATTTCCTACATGTCAGTTTGATGAAAGTATGTTTAAATTAACATTCCCCTTCCACAGATGACCCTGCCTTTTGTCCGTTAGACAAAAAAAAAAGAATTATAAGAAAGAACAAAATAATCCCAGACATCATAATACACACAGGGAGATTCAAAGCTAACATCTAAATATGGGGAAAAACATGCCATGTTCTTATTTCTGTATCTCAGTTACTTCAGACAGAGTGATTGCTTTCAACTCCATTTATTTTTTGGAAATTTTATAATTTTTTCTTAGTGAGAAAATAACATTCCATTTTACAAATGTGTTACATTTTAACTATCCATTCATCAGCTGATGATATACTAAGTTTTTTACACTTCTGCAATATTGTAAGTAGAGTAGCAATGAACATGAATGGATAAATATCTCTGTAGTAGGATACTGTGTTCTTTAGATAAATTGCCAAAAATGTCATGGCTGGATCATGTGGTGGATGTACTTGTAACCTTTTGAGGAACATCCATACTGTTTTCTAATGTAACTACATAAGCATGCATTTGGCATGCACAAACATAGTGAAGAAGTGTTTCCCTTTTGGAGCATCCTCACCAACATTTGTGATCATTTTTTTTACTGATCTAGGACAATCAGACTGGAATAAGGTGAAATCTCAAAGTAATTTTAATTTGCATTTCTCTGCTGGCTAAGGATGTGAAATAATATTTTCATGTTTCTGAGACATTTGTTTTCCATTGTTTGGGAACTCTGTTTAGTTCTATACCCATTGACTTTATAATTTTCCTGCCACCCATCATTACTCACTTCATTGCAGATATTTTTGCATTATTTGCATACTCATCCATCTTATAATACTTCTAGTGCAGCTGCTTTATTCATTCCAAGAAGCTTAGACCTGATCCATGTCATCCTTAGGCATGGACATTTGTGGAATGTCCATTATCTCTCATTCATATATCTCATCTACCTGCTCTGCATCAACATGTAATAAAGTATTTTAGGACCATTCTTGTTTTATCTATGCCAAACAACCCCAAAGGAAAAATCACTCACTTTTCAGACATTTTTCAAAATTCTTTGAAAACCTTTTAAACACCTACCTATAAACATAGCACCTGAAATGTTTATGGGGACTTTAAACACACACAGGATCTCTGTGCTACCCTGTATCACTCTGTTGTTGTTCATTTATCTTCCCTTGGATGTCCTTCCTCTCCTACTAGGACCCATTTCTTAAACTGACACAGAATGAAAATTCCCCCAAAAAACAAATATCTTTTAAATGTTGGAGTGCTACTGTTTTAGGATGAAATGGAAACATCAGTAAGTAGGACACTATTAGAAGAAGTGGATCGTGGTTGAGTTCTTGCAGGTTAGAATCTGGGCTCCTAACTCCAGTCAGAAATGTGGAACTTTCACAGTAACTCATGAATAAACTCACCTCTTTGCAAATTGTTCCTCCAGTGTATCAAGTAACTGCTATTCATGGTCTCTCTCTCTCTCTCTCTCTCTCTCTCTCTCTCTCTCTCTCTCTCTCTCTCTCTCTCTCTCTCTCTGGTTTCTCTGTGTAGTTTTGGTGCCTGTCCTGGATCTTGCTCTGTAAACCAGGCTGGCCTGAACTCACAGACATCTGGCTTTGCCTCCCGAGTGCTGGGATTGAAGGCATAAGCCACCACTGTCCAGCTGTCACTTTCTTCCTATCTTCACCCACCTTCAGAAAATTACTGGAGTTGTCACTGACATTGTTGGGAATCTGGGTTGCTACTGGAAACTCCAAGACTTATTTGCTCTTTATGCAACCAGCTCAGACAGACGTTTCAACCCATAATAAATATCAAAAGGTGGCAGCATCTTCCACTGCGTGGAATGTTATATCATTGAGGGTGGAGGAACATAGGAGAAAAGCATTCCTGATTAACCTAAAAAGAGTGCTGAATAGATTGCTGCGTATGTAGAAGAGTGGTATGACTTGCTTTAACTGTTATTCTAAATCTCCAGTCACAGCCGTATGAAGATGTCTTTACTCTTTCTCAATCACATGTTTTTACTTAGTCTCATGAGAGGTATGATTCCAACTTTCATATGTGGTAGAATGTAACTATGACCTGGCTCATAGTAGACTGTGGCCTGTACCTCTAGAGCAACTGCAGGCAAAGTGATCAAGAGCTTATCCATATCAAGAGTTTGTGGCACTGAGGTGCTGGAATGGATGTGAACTGAGCAAGGCATTTTGTGTTGAAAGTTTATGGCTTAAATAGTAGATGTGATTGTATAGTCTTGTGAAAGTGGAGGTTAATTTCCATAGAATATATATTATATATACAGAACATCCCGGATGTTATGTATCAGAATGCCTGATGACAAATGTTGGGATAATATGTTGAAAACATACTGAACATGTGCTCTTCAAGGCAGCCTGGACCCAAGAAAGGCTGTGAAATGTTTCACATAAAGAGTGAAAAGGCCTGGATGCCAAGAGTTTCGATAGAACTGTATGAAAGTTCCATCAGTGGAAGAAACCTGATTAATCCTTAAGGTTTACTTCATACAGAAAAATGTCATCCCCAAATAATTTGTGTATTGTTTCCTTTTTCAAAAATCAGATTCTGAAAAAGAATGCAATTTAAGTAGTTGTAATAATATTAGAGGATTCTGTATCATTTTTCAATAGAGCCTAGAGAAAGGGGCTGATTTACTCATAAGTACAAAGGGGCTCAAAGTGGGAAAAGACAAGGATATAATGATTGTGATTTTCATCAGCCACCAATTTTGACCAGACAATAGAGCACTGCAGCCATGTGAGATGGTAGAGAGGGTATAAAAAGCCAGAAAGGTGAACACTCGGACAAGGATGTTCTTGGTGGCTGTAGACTCTGTGGAGTTACTGTGGAAAGCACAAGGACTTCGAATGTGTTGAACTCGCTGTTTGTGCCTATACAAAATGACAATCATTGAACTGCTGGACCAGGTGATGAGGACAGAATATATAAGTTCAGGAAACACAGAAAAAGCTATATATAAGGAGACTGTGATTTTGTCATGACCTGCATCAGTATAGCGTTCAAAATCTATCTCTTTTGTTATGTTTTTCATTCTTAATTTTATGAACATGTACAAAGGGAAAAGTACATTTACCATGATGTACAAGATCCAGGAGAGAAAAATGTAGACACCAATGTCCTTGGGACATTTGGCTCTAGGATTCTTCCAACAGGAGTTTCTAGGGCTGATGAGGCTGGCCTGGAAGACACTCAAGAGACAGAATGTGGCAACGGACATGCTCCTGAAAACTCTTAGCACATATACAAAAAGTTGGTAACTCCAATCATTGAAGAAATGTTTCAACCCAAAAGCTGTCATTGTGTTGCCTATTCCTTTAGAGAGAATGATCAAGAAGTTAACTGTGATCAGATGCATGAGAATTAAATCCAAGGGCTTTACCGTGTGTTTCTTGAAATAAATAACTAGGTAGTAGGAAAGAAAAGAGACATTTCCCAGAATTCCAACTGTATTCTCTATCAAAAATATTATTCCTATTCCCAAATTCCTGGGGTCCATTTTGTTACTGAGCAAAATTCACTTCAAATTATGCAATCAGTCCTTCTCAGAGAAAAAAAATACTGTATTTTTTATATCTAAGATGGTCCTGTGTGCCTGATGTCACAAATGCACAAGAATCATATTAAAGACTGAAAACCCAAGGTGTTCTGTGCAACATGAACTTGTCCACACCACCTCTCACAGTTATTTTTACACCAATTACAGCAGTCAGTAAGAACTGCTGATGGCTTCAAATGCACATATTTGTGGGGCAAATTTCCATTATGTTCCTCAAAAAAAGTCTGCACTAAGAATAGGGCAAAGTTGTCCTGATAGAAGCAATGACCAGTGAGTTAAAAATAAAAGAACGCTCAATTTTACAAGCCCACCCATATTGAAGAAAATGTTTTTTTCTTGTCCTCTTCTCCAAGGAAGAAATCCATTGTTAATGCATTTCCCATATTATTATTAACATTAAAATCAAAATATTACAACAGGAAAGAGAATATCTTTCTATTCTTTGATAATTAGGTTTATTATGTAGTACTAAACATTAGATGAAAGTGATTAATTAGATAATGTGATATTTAAGAGATAACTCCTAAATTCTACCCCTTACACATACACATGGAACAAGGGTGGTGCAGAGTTAAGATGTGGAGAGAGGAGAGACACATTCTACAAAAAGAATTGCTATCTAACACAATGGAGAGAAAACATGTGAATGATTCTAACACAAATTAGTGAGAAGGAGGCAATACTATATAAATGATACATAGGGGAAGAATGCCCAGTGTTCCTATCTGATCTATTATCTGATGCATCAATCAACAGTAGAAAGGTGAAACACAAGCCATAGGAAACACTAGCTCTTGGTAAGCATGCGGATGAAACAAGAATTCTGGCTATGGTGATCACATTGCTTCACACAATTTCCCAAATGAAAGCCTGAGAATATGCAAAACAGATGTATACCTTCATGTAAAAAACTTAGCTTTTACAGACTAAATGAGCCTTCATAGATAATGCTCAGAATCTACATCTAATGATTGACTTGAAGGCAAATAAATACAAACCTGTACTTTAGCAGAACAGCAATTGACTGATGTTTATGCAATGCCATTCTATACAACAATGTAAATCAATCAGAAATGCATTGACAACACTCACATGCACGAGAATACACTTTGAAAAGACATCTTGATCTAAAATTCAAATTATGCAAAACCCAATACATGAAAGCAGTGTTCTAGTCTTTCAATGCTTAACAGAGACATGAACCAACCTCTAAAAATTTGCACTCCTGCCCATAACCCAATAGAGCTCTAGTTTTGATGTGATGACTGAAATCAAAAGGAAGCTAGTTAATGAAATCTTTTTCCATTGGTTGCATGTGTCTTCGGATAGGCTCTTCTTCAGGAATGTAGGCTGTCCTGGAATGTACAATAATCTTCCCACCTCACTCCATGGATTCCCGGCATTGACACCAAGCCAATGTTCAGTTACCTGATCTATGTGTGACATAATGAAGTGACTGTCGTTTATGATCTGTGTAGATATAAACAAATACACAAATTCAATGAATTATCTGCCTTAACACAAGAGATGCCAAAATCTCGAAGATACCTTGAAGGCAATGTACAGCAGTGGAATGCACTCTGTGTTGGAGAATCTTCCATAAGGACCAGAACCCCCAGTCACTGAAGAGAAAGAAGGAATGATACAAAGAAAAGAGAAAATATCCAGAATTTAATCTTCACCATATAATAAGGAGTGACCAATGGAGACAGTTAAGCTGTTACAGTTCTTGCCTTAGGAGAATGAGCACTCAATTTCAATCTCTAAAATTCATATAAAAATCTGGAGTTGGGAGCTCATAGTTACAATTCAAACAGTAGGGAATGGGCAGTATCAGTTAGATTTCTCTGTCAGGCTGACAAGAAAGCATAGTGTTCCCTGAGAATTTCAGATGAGTGGGAGGGTCTGTCTCAAAAAGAACAAGATAAAAAATGTCTGAGGAACTACAATGAAAGTTTTGATCTGCCTCCATACTCTCGCATAAGTTCATGTTCCCCTGAACACAAGAGAACTCTTTTACACAGAAACAGAGATGGATGTACACAGCAAGACATTAGGTTATAATTAATTGTCATTTAAAACCCTTATTTATTAATGCCTTGGTCAAGTCAAACTACTAGAAATAAATCAGGACTTATAAACAATTTCCAAATATAAAAACATGTACACATAAATAGAATTTTTTAAAAAATGAAATCTTATATATTGTGTAATGGAAGGACAAGAGGTAAATATGGCATGGGCTGTGGTTGTAACCTAAGTTTAAGCTCTTGCCTGATGTATTTGAGGCTCTAAATTCTAAAAACTTCAGCAGTAAAATGGGGAAAAGCCATCATGAGATTGAAGTGACCTCAGAATATTATGAAACAAGGGGAAATGACAGAAACTTCATGTGTGCTAGGCCAGAATTTTGAAAGACTCACACTGACATTGCCATCTTTACTTTAACATAGTGTTTCCAAATTCAAGATGGAAAACAGGGACTGTTAGGAAGACAAGGTCTTGCCCAGTTACAGATTTAGTACTGCCTAGAAGTATTTCCTCCAAACAGGGTTAGATTCTGGCTCCTTCCTAGGATTAGATGATTTTTTTAGTTCCATTTCTAAGGTCTATTTATAAACACAAAGTCATTTTCTGAAATTTGTAATTGTTATACTGCAAAATTATTCTGTGATTCATGTGTACAATTAATGGAAATCTGAATCACGTAATTAACATAATCCTGAAGCACCTTGGAAATCAGATTTTATTAGGTTTCACAGTTTTCAACGGACAGTCTGAAAGAGGATTTAGTTACACTTTTCCTACATCAAGAATTAGAATAAGTTCAGGGACAATGTCTTTTCCTTACTAACTTGGCCTATATTCCAGAAAGTTTCCCTGTCTCTTGACTGAATCTCTACTGTTCTATCTCTACCGAGAATAAATTTTAAGAGGTGTGTACTTACCATACCTCTCTTCCTGGCTTTCTTTGTCTTTGAGGATGAGAACAATATGCTCCCCTGACTTTTGCCTCTGCAGAATCTTCAGCTCAGTGTATAGCTCCTGACATGACAGCCAATACTATGGATGAGAGAGGGAGTCCAGCCCTAAGATAACGGTTCATAGATCTGTGACCTCAACTCCCTTCAGAAATGCAATTTTTATCTCAGCCACAGTCATGATGACAGAGCTAGCTTTGGGAGCCAAGCACTTTTTCATAATTTTCCATTTGATAATTATCAAAGACCCTGATGAGTTCCTTGTAAGTATATCCAAAGAGATAATGTGTTTGGAGAGGTTCATATATTATCTTAATCCTGCTGAATGACTAGGAGGGAAGGTTCAGTGAGTATCAAAGTCTCTAAGGAGGTTTACTTGTCTCTTTAGATACAGATAGTCTTCTCTGGGATATCTTAAATAAAGTCAAGTTAATTATTAACTTTTGGATCCATGTGCTGCTCACTTTCAGAGTACCCATCTGAACACAGTCATTCATGATTTCTGGGAATTCTACTGAAGTACAAGTAAAAAAGAAAGAGTGACAACAAAATCCACACTAGAAATTTTTCCTTTCATTTGAACTCAATGCAAATAAACAGAAAATAATGATATGAAAATATGATTGTCTATGTTAGAGTTATAAACCAAGCAACAACTGCAAGCCTGAACAGAGCCCTACCTTAGAATAATTTATATATGTATTCATTCATTACAAATGACATCAAATGTATCCAATACATTTCACATAATGAATTGTCATTTTCTCTTAAAGCACTGAATAGAAACCGAATAATATAGTAATTTTTTAATACTAATCAGATTTGGAGAATTAATTTTTAGCATTTAATGAAAAAGCAAAAGAATTAAAGATTGAATATTTATCTTCTGTCCATGAAGCATCTCACTTTCAGTGTTTTAGGCCAACATAGAAATGTGAGAGATAACATCTACACCATACCTCCACCAATTCCAACACACACAAAAAATCAAACTTTAGATCAACATCTGTGGAACCTGTATGGGACCGGAATAGACCCTCTGCCTATGGGACACAGTGATGTAGTTTGGTCTGTTTGAGGGGTCCCTGGTAGTGGGATCAAGAACTATCCCTGGTGCATGGGCTGGCTTTTAAGAGCCAGTTATGGTGGGATGCCTTGCTCAGCCTTGATGCAGGGAGGATGGACTTGGTCCTGCATCATCTGAAAGTACATGGATTTGCTGATTCCCCATGTGAACCTTTACCCTTTTGGAGGAGGGGATGGGTGATGGGTCAGTGGGGAAGGCTGGGGGGAGTGGGAAGAAGGATGAGAGTGGGATCAGTGGTTGGCATGTAAAGTGAATAAAATCATTCTTAAACAAAAAAAGCCTTTGGTTTGAAGCTCTCTCTGTGCTTCACTATTTCTCTAGAAAATATTAAGAACACAGAAACTGTCATAGTTATTACAGGGAAAATATAGTCCTCAAAATATCCCAAGTAGAATACAGTAAAATTTAGGGTAATAATTTTTGAATAAAGCTTTCCTGCTTGGCTAAACATATGTTCTACTACTTATCTATGCCTAATATAGATATATTTGTTTTATAGAGGACATGAGATTATTAGCATTCAGAGTTCCAAAGATGAATAGTGTCATGGGGTGGTGTGAACCCAGGTCTTTTCTTGCAGGCATTATGGCCCCTGAGGACAGGATGTGTAAATCAAGCATGGTGGTAGGTGTAATGTTTTACAGGATGTCAGAATTGATCAGTCTGCATAATCTGATATATACAGACCCACTTGAGTCTCTCTCTTGTGGTCCTGTACTGGCTCTCCAGCAATTTGGGCCATCTCTGAAGTAATGAGGAAGAATGAAATTCTGAGGAACCAGAGTAGTAAAAAGAATGTTTTACATCTCACAGGATAGAGGAGAATTATTAGTTGAGGAAAACAACAAAGAGAATATACTGATGCAGAACTCAGTGGGTTCAGAAGTTAGCAAAAAGCCTATGTGACCTGGGCAGGGGGTAGAAAATGGAAAGAGAGCAGAAAATGAGCCCAGTGTATCTCGTAGACAAAGCAGGTATTATAGAGGACAATGAACATGTTTCTTTCATA